AAATAACGGACGTTTTATAACGTTTATCGGTGCGTGCGTGCATGTGTGCATGTGTACGTGCGTACGTGCGTGCGTGCGTGCGTGTGTGTGTGTGTATAACACCTAACATTACCTTGGCGACAAGCAGGACTAACACAGTGATAGAGTCTGCATGTCTTCTCTTAAAACGACTTCTGCAGACATGGCTTTACATTCTTACGTTTTTTGTATTTTTTGTGGCAGATAGACGCGAGTTGCTCCCTGTATGTTACCAAAACCAAAAGATCCAGTAAAAGCTGAAGGACCATGATGTGTGTACGTTTTTCCATTTTGTTGGAAAGATGGCAAGGAGACAATCGAACTTAGGTTTGGGCCAGGCAATGAGTCAAGGGTGAAAGCACCCTAAAAGAACATAAAATACCAACAACCTAACATAAACAGTATAGGTTTTCTTGATATTTTCATATAAGAGCCGGCTGTGAATCAAGAAAATCATATTAAAAATGTAGTCATTTGGCAACCTGTGACATCAAACAATAATAAATATGTCATATCATATGAATTTATATTTAATAAATAGAATAGATGTTATTTATGTGCATTTGAATTCATATTGGCTTTTATTCAGAATGTTTTTCATTCTCCCAGCTGCATTTCATATTCGTTTTGTGTCGCTATAGTTACAAGCTGACTGTTTTTATTTATTAAAATCGCTTATCTGATGACCCATCTGTCAAAAATCTAATATTGTTATTAATTACCCACCTGATTACTCTTACATTTTCCTCTGAATAGCCAGTAATATGAGTGCTAAAATAAATAATACAACCCTAATCTCTTATTAACTATAATTTTTTTTCACAGAAACAAAATATGGCTTTTCTATTACCGTTTAATTGCTCAAATGGTTGAAGATTTTTCTATTGAGTATGTCATAATAAAAGTCCGTTTTACCTGATCATTGACCATTGCTTGACATGAAGGAAAGTCATTGCTAGCAGCAGGAATAGATTTGTTTCTCAGAAGCTTGAATTTGGCTCTTTCTCCTCCTCAGAGTGAGAGTTTTGTGGAATCAGAGACAGTTCGGTCGAGAGCTCAAGGGACTGGATTATGATATCGTTACTAAGAATGTGTCTGGCAAATCCCCAGTGCCTGATTTCTTAAGAGTGTTTGATTACCCTCAGAAGACTCAGCCTCGGTTAATGCATTAATTATGCGTCTGATTTACATAAACGGTCAATATGGAACTTGGAAACAACACTACAGTTGACAGAGCTGCGTTATTGCAAAGTGATGTTTGTTGTTGATTTGACTGTAATTTGAGCTAATCTATTTAAAGCTGAAGACAAGTTTTTAATTCTTTTTCAAATATTACCAAGTGCTGTTTAACCGATGTTAAGAATGCCATTAAAGAATGAATGTAGCAGAAATCATGAGTTTATTTTACCAATTATTTTGCAAGATAGTATTCAGCTTCAAGTGAAATTTAGGGCGTACTCGCACTATGCTATCCAAACCATGCCCAGGCCCTTTTCCCGGATCGCTTGAGAAGTGTGAGTGCGCTGAATCGGGCTCAGGCATGGTTCATCTGGCTGGCCCTGGCCCGGTTGGAAGAGGTGTGCCTAAGCAGGGTTCACTTGGGCTTTGGCGCGGTACGCTTATGTGTGTGAGTGCAAAATGTGCCAGAGCCCGAAACTGAAAGCGAGATGTGACTTTTAAGGGACTGTTTCATATGGATGTATTAATCATTCTTACCGTTCAGTGAACGCAAACTGTCGTAGTTTATTATAGATGCAAACCCCTCACTGCACGACAGCTGCTTCTTCAGCAAACCTCCTAATTCCTGCAGCACGAGGACTTTACATTTGTTTATAAGTGTCAAAAGCAGCTAATCTGTTCGGCAAAATATTTGAAAAAAATGTTCCTTATTAATATATTTTTGTAGTGTGTTAGCAGACCACTGTAATTCACAAATGTGAGTCCAGCTACGCTCTCATAGCAGGGAAATGGAAACAAAACCTTCTGTGCAGCACATTTATAAATGCAACACTGAAATCCCATGTCTCCAAACAATTATTTTTCTTCCACTTGTTTTAATTATGGTTGGCAATATAACATGGCGTCTCTCTGCCATCTGCACACTGTTACAGGTAAAAACGGTCTTCAAAGCTATCATGCATATTAATGAAGTTGCACCTTATTTACAACAAAGCGCGCTAATTGGTTCGAACCAAGTCTTTCAATTACAAATTACACAGTTTACACATTGATCTCATGGCCATAACGTAGCTTCAACATTTCTTTTCAAACTGGAAGAACAAATTTGCTAGAAATAACACAAAAACAACCAATTTCCACTTTTTTTGTGAAATATATGTGTCCTAACAGTGTTTTTAGCAGTGTGGGAAATATATATATATATATATATATTATCATAACAAAATATTAATATTATTAAGTAACTGTGCAATTTACAAGTACTGTTTTATATTTGTAGTATTTTTTAAATGCAATTCATCTCTGTGATTTAAAAAGTGTAACTATAATTTTGTCATCATTTACTTGTTCAAAACATGTTTGAGTTTCTTTTGTTATGTTTTTGTTAAACACAAAGGAAGATATTTTGAAAAATGCTGGTTGCTGGGACCCATTGATTTCAAATTTTTCACTTCTATAAAGTCGATGGATCCCAGCATCCAACATTATTAGGCTAGAAAATGTGATCAACTTTTTGGAATTTTTTTATTTATTTAAAATTTTAAGAAAAAAAATATTTGAAATAGCAATCTTTTGAAACATTCTAAATGTTTTATTACACTCTAAGAAAAATTCTGGGTTGTCATAACCCAAATTTGGGTCTGTTTAGGAAAAAAATATTTTAATCCAATGATTGGGTTTGTCCATATCTTACTTAGATTTTTTTTAGAGCAGGGCTTCTCAAAATCCGTACTCTAGACTGGATCTGGACCATGAGTGTATTCAATCCAGACCCGACTCCATTTCATATGGAGTCATATTCAATTCATATTCATATGGAATATTCAAATTGTGATAAATGCATAAACCTTGTAAATCAATAGTTTAGTTATTTGTATTTTTGTATAAATAAAATTGAATCATGTTTTTCTACCTGATTTTGTTGTCATGACATCCAGTGATCATACGAGGCTTCACGTGATCGAGCGGGTTAATCTTGCGCGTGTGCAGGTGCTTTAATGCAAAGCAATCATTTCAATGAATGGAGATGTCAGTCTCATGGAAAAGAAAAGTTGGTATAGAGAATAGACAGTTTAAAGTTGAATAGACAGAGAAGTATGCATTTATTTTTTTAATTCAGTTCAACTCACCTTTATTTCTATAGCGCTTTTACAATGTAGATTGTGTCAAAGCATATAAAAAAGTCATATAGAAAATTATAGTAAATTAAAAAAGTGTCAATCCGTTTTGCCACAAGCCAGCACAAAGCCATTCTGCTTGATTTGTAATGAGACAATTGGAGTTGTTAAGAGTGAAAATGTAAAACGCCACTATGAAACACGGACATTTTGAATGACAGTATCCACAAAATACAAATATAAGTTTTCATTAAACACCTTTTGTATTTTTCACTTTTTTGCATCTCTGAGAATTTTTTTTTTTTTTCAATTTAATTCACCTTTTTTATAGCGCTTTTACAGTGTAGATTGTGTCAAAGCAGCTTCACATGGAAGATTATAGTAAATTGAAACAGTGTCAGTTCAGTTTTCAAGGTTTAAGTTCAGTTCAGTTTAGCACAGTGGATATTTATTTTAAGTGTCAATCAATCAACTGGTGTTCCTAATAAAGTGTCAACCAAAAAGTGTACATAGAGTTTTTAACTTTTTTGGAGGTATTAAAAAATGAAGTGTGTGTAATTATTTGAATGTAAACTGCTGTAAGCAGGCCAGGGCCGAGAGCCATGGGAGCGACACAAAGTTGAGGAATGTAGACTGAATGTTAATGTGAAACACCTGCATGGCACACCGGTCTTAAACCTCACTGAGGAGCTCCAGAAGGATTTAAAGAGGAGTGGAGGGAGAGAGGACTAGGACTGGGACGGTTTGTGCTTTGTATGTGCGACACTAAGCTGTGATGCTGCTGCTTCTTGCTTCAGTTGCTTATTTTTAATTAGAAAATTGTCTGTCTTTGTTAAGCTGACTTCTGCTGCCTTCTTCCCATATCTATAAACTTTGATATTTGGACTAATACAGTTTCTGTGTGGGGATAGTTCACCCAGAAATGAAGATTCCATCATCATTTACTCGTCAAGTTGTTGCAAACATAGTTTCTTTCTTTTTTGAGTCTAAAGGAAAGTGTTAGGCCCTGTTTACACTAACACGTTTTCGTTTTAAAATGCATTAGTTTTGCTACGGTTATGCCTTCCGTCTTCACTATGCGTTTTCGAGCACCAAAAACAGAGGTTTTTGAAAGTGCTAAAGAAGCCGTTTTCTCCATAAAGCACTGCTGCTCCAGGCCTGGTCATGTTCTGCCAAGCTCCTCCATCCGGGTGATGTAATGTAATTTGCAACAAACGCAGAAAGGTGATGTGACACTCCCCACATGTATCAAAATTAGACAGCAAAATAAGAAAATTTTGCAATTTATTCTTTTATTTTTTGTTTCTTTTGAGTTTATCTGAGTTCTGTTGCATGTTTTTTTTAAAGCCCATCTTTATACAGAAATGGAGGTCGAAACCAATCTATGTGAAAATAAAAAGACAACAAGATGCGGCTGAAGTCTTCACTGTGTCACGTTAAAAGAACTTAACTTAGTGTCACACATCAATATCAGTCCCAAAGCAGTCGACCAATCAAAAGATCTCAAATGTGGGCCAGGCATTGCAAAATTCTGTTTACAATAGCAAGTTGGCATAACAACAAAAATATGTATTGAGTGAATGCCCCTAAGGCTTTTTTGTGCTTAGCCTTTCTTTTTTTTTGCCCAGTTTTAGCTTTAATATTCTGACAGGTGTGATAAAGTATGTGTATTCTTTTTGTCCTCAGGTACGACGAGGCAGCCCAAAGAGGGAGAGGTCCCAGGTGTGGACTACAACTTTGTGAGCGTTGAGCGGTTTATGGAATTAGAGAAAAGTGGGGCCTTGTTAGAAAGTGGAACGTACGAAGGTAAGCTGAATTCCACCACTAAACCTCCATAAATCTTTACCTCTAGAAATAAAGCTTATGTCTCACCTGTTACGCCGTAGCAGCCTGGAATATAAATTTTTCCTTACATTTTCTCGATGGTCCCGCAAGAAGGAGCGTGTGTGGCTTTGACATTGAGCAAAGGTATTCAGAACTAGTGCAGTTTGGTCTCCTGAGAGCCGACATTGAGGTGTGTGGACTACTTTCACATGCAGGTTTATGAGAGGAAGATCCTAACTGAATCTGGGAGGCATTGCATCATAACAGGGTAATTGCAGTGGATTTACCTTAAAAATGGCAGATAAAGGCACATTTGAGATAGTCGACTTTTCCTATAATGATTATATGTCCATTAGAAATTTGTGACATTTATTGTTGTAATTTTAAATCCATTAATTGAAGATGGCGACAGTCATATGTATCTGTGAATAGCTGGGGGAGATAAATATCAAATATCTGGGTTTCAGACATCTGCCGGTCTGTTTTTTACCAGCGTCTCGTCAGTTGTGGGGGAATGAGTCGAGTCCACCCTGCATTACTATAACTGTGCCCCTGTCGGGAGACTCGGTGAAGGCGGCGATAGTTTCAGATGCATCGAGTGATATACCCCCAAATCTGCGCGGGGTTGCTGTACCTAGCTTGCCTTTCCTGAAAACCAGGATGTCTATTTTTCCATATATGGTCTAAGGATTTCCGGAGCCTATTCTCCTGTCCAGTTTACATTCTGCATGAACGGGTAGTCATTTCAGCTCATGCTGTCGTCTTTCACTGGTGGGTTAATGACATTCATGTTAAAGCATTTTGTTCAAAAGACACGACTGTAACTAGTCGACGCCAGTTTTTAAGGCTTTTATTGATTGTGCTTTTATTAATTGAAAATATTGAACTGAATCCTGGTCCTGACAAAACTGTTTTTATGTCTACTTTTTTATTTTATCTGTGTTTTTATTCCTATGTCTTAAATAGTATGCTGAGCCTGGGTCCAGACACAAGTGTGATAAATGTATACATGTCACAATCTTTAGGCATTCAGCATCTTCATTACAGTTTTCTGAGGCTCTTCCTGCTCCTGACATTTTAGGTTTAAATTATAAACATGTCAAAGTTCATAAAAAATCTAAAAAAAATCTTGCCACATTAAGTCAGCTTGGTAAATTTAGTGGTTTCAAAATTTGTCATTTAAATATGAGGAGCTTTGTTCCCAAACTGGATGAATTCTAAATCATAATTGCTGAAACTCAACTGACAAACCTCAACTGACTCAGAATCATTACAATTAGTTGTCAATCTATCAAACCAGCTTTCAGTTACTATTATTGTCACATACAAGCCCCCAAATGTCAGCGCGGCTGCATACTTAATGCAGCTTGCTGACATGATAAAATGTGTTAAAAAAATAAAGAGCTTGTAATTCTTGGTGACATTAAAATGAACTTGATTGACAACTCATCCAAATCTTTGAAAGCCATAGCTATAAAATTGGGTTTACATCAATTAAGACTCCATCTAGATTTGGTAAAACTCGTAATTCTGTTTTGGATATTATATTTACAAACCAGCCAACTAAGTATTGTATATCTGGAGTAATTCACACCTCTGTTTCCGACCATTCCCTCATATGTCATAAGGAAAACTTTTAAACACCCAAGAACTCGTAAAAACAATTATACATCAAAAATACCAAACTCAAAATTACCTCAGTTTAATGCTTAATTTGAAGATATTAGCTGCATCCCAAATCACATACTTATGCACTATTCTACGTCATTTTGTAGTATAAATAGTGTAAGTAGTGTGTTCACACTAAAAACTCTGAAAATAATAAGTGCACTTTAATTACCCGGATGATGCACTCATTCAGCCGCTAAAATGAAGTGTGTATTGATGGACACTTCACGCACTCAACGAACGCAGTTTTGCCTACGTAGCGGAAGGGGTGGAGCTATCTGACGCACATGTTGGATAACTTTATTTATTTTTTATGGTAAAAGCAAAATTCTACGAGAGTGATTATAGCGCCTCCTGATGGTGAATGCGGTTATACTCACGGCAGGTGCTATTTGATAATTCGGTTGTTTATTTCACTGATTTGGCAACCGTCAAACCTCATTAGGGAAACCGTTTGAATTTCCGCTTAGTTAAAAAACATAAGTGTGCCATTTGGGACGACACTACATACATGTACTATACTGTTGAGTGTGTAAGTGCATAAGTACATAGTGCATGAGTTCATAGTGTATAGTGTGTCATTTGGAACGCAGATATTGATTGGAGTAATGAGATGCTATTGTCAAATCATGACTGCATCTTATTTAATTTTTATAGCAGAGTGGAGGAAATATGGCAAAAGTATACAACTACTTGCAAAATGTATGTCAGACACAACAAAGTACCTGGGGTAAATTCTGAAAATTTTCAACTTTAAAAAAAAAGCCTACTCTCTGAAGGCATACAGATTTTCTAAAACACGTGAAAATAGGCTTATTTTTAGTCAATACAGAAATAAATGTTACTCTGAATTGCGTAAAGCTAAGCAACTCTACTTTTAAAATCAAATTAACCAAGCTGTTACCAATCCAAGAGTACTATGGCAAACTATTAAATCTATAACTGGTTAATATATCTTATAAAATAACAATAACTTACAAATTGCTATAAATGGTACTCTTCTCACTGATCATGAAAAAAGGCTATCTCATTCAAAGAGTATTTCATTTTATCTGTACAAGAGCTGTCTTCTACATTTTTAGCTTCTCCAATGCTCCCAGTACCACCAAATACACTTCAACAGTTTTCTTTTTCTGAGATCTCACAAAGTGAGTTATTCGATGTCCTAAACTCTTTTAGTATTTCTCATGCCTGCGATGCAAACAGTTTAAACATGCATTTTATGGAAACTCATGCTAGTACTCTTATACCACTTTTTCATCATTCAGTTAATTTTTGAAAAACTGCTCAGATATTTCAATATTCAAACCTGAGAAGCCAACTAGTGTCTCTAATTATTGGCCAATCTCAATTCTCCCTAAATTTTCAAAGTTACTTGAAAAAGCATTGTGTAATCAGTTAATTGAGTATCTTGAATACAATAAGTTGCTTAGTGACGATTGCAGTCAACCATGTCAGCATTGCTTTTATTTACTGAACATATACATATGGCACTAAATAAAGGTCATGTCACTGGAGCTGTATATATATATATATATATATATATTAGAAACGTCTTTGATACAGTTGGTCATATTATTCTTTTAAACAATTTGATCTCTTTTACTCTCTCTTCTTTTGCAATAGACATGTTTTCATCATATTTATCCAATAGATCTCAGGCTGTTAAAATTAGTACGACAACATCCCAGGCATTAGGTTGTTCTATGGGGGTTCCACAGGGAAGTATTTTGGGACCTTTACTTTTCCCGATGTATATCAATGAGCTCCCTCAGGTAATTAAACTTTCAGATTCTTTATTGTACGCAGATGACACTGTACTTTTTGTGTCTAGATAAAGTACAGACACAATTAACAATAAATTAAATACAAATCTTCAGTATTTACAAGAGTGGCTGCAAGACAATCATTTGACTATTAACTTTAAGAAAACAGAGTTTATGTACTTTTATTTACCTAGGAGAAAATTATCCATATCCTATCCTATCACTTTCTCAAATCAAAAACTTTCCATTGAATCCACATATCATAATCAGTCTGGACTCTCACCTTACACTTATTGTAACCATGTTCAAAATGTTTATAAAAAAGCTGAAACAAAAGCTATTTGTTTATGGGAAAATTAGGACAAATTTGTCTTTTTCTGTTTCAGAAAATTATCTTCATGCCATAATCTTGTCTACCTTATCTTACTGTTTGCCTGTTTGGTCTCTCACTACAATTGTTATCTTGGAGCCAATAGCTAGACTGTACAATAGGGCCTATAAGATCCACAACAGACTTTCTGGATGAACACATCACTGTTTTGCTCTATCACTCTCTAATGCTTTAACATTTCAAAACTACATTATGAACACAGGGATTAAACTGTACTATAAAATTGTAAATAGCGCTACCTCAGCAGCCCTTTGTGCTTTGGTACCAAAACTCAAAACAAGGACTGATCGTTCCACCCGATCTGTAACAAATGGATGTTTGCCATTACCGGCTTTTAAAAACTGTTATGGACAGAGATCTTTCTTTTATGTATTCACAAAAGCCTGGACTGAGATCCCACAACAACTAAAAACAATACCAACATTGAGACTTTTAAAAAAAATCCCATGCTCGTCATCTGATGGTCAGCTATCGCTGTAGCCACTGCGATAGTAGCCTGCTTTTCTCTTATTTTATATGTTTGGTGATTGTTTGTACTGTGTTGATGGATGAGATGTCAGTCTGTTTTTATGTTCTGCAGAGCAGAAACCTGCTGAAAAAAACAGCATTCATGCTGAGTCAGGCCCGATTATCTTTTAATCTTTTCCTGTTTAAAAATTATAAATAAATAAATATTACAGTTTAGAAATATCACACTGCAAAAGGGCTGTTTTTCCAAACATCAGCATGTCACCTCTATTGCAGATTTTGTTTTCGTTAATATTGAGTTTGAATTTTAGACACTATAGTCTGTTTTTTTTTATTTTTTTATATTGCTTCAACAAAGGTAATAGTTCCGACGATAGTGCGACACAGCTGTTTCATCTATCAATGATTTTATTTTTGAACTAATTATTAAACTTAATATTTCACCGATTCATTCATAAAGTCTGTTTTGCACAAATGATTCAATGAATCACTCAAATTTGCCATCACGTACTTGGTTTGGTGTCATATTTATTTATCATTGACAGTCCAAAACCAGCCAAGCTGGCAGTAGAATAAATTCACCAAAATAGTCAGATGTCATATTTTTCTAAATAAATTCTTTATTAAATCTCAATGTGAAACAAGCAATGTCCAAAAATCTTTATAATCTTTTTAAAATTAATTTTCAT